ACAGGGAACAAACATAGTAGATTACTTTTCCCATAAAAATTCAAACTCACTGGAGGCCAAGACATTCATCAATTTATCCAGGGTGTAAAATCAGAGTAGTTTGTGTAGTTGTATTAAAAATTGATACAGCACATTTCAGTGTCCTGGATTTGATTTGTAGGTGGGCAATACAGTTTAACATATGTTTAATCAGATTGAAAATGCAAATGATTCAAAGACAGTTTTCAGAACAACTCAAAGGGTAGCGGCTGGCTGCTTTATGGTTTTGCTATAAAATCATAAACCAAACAATTATGGCTTTGTTAAAAAATTCTTCATGATATGAAAAAAAAAAAGAATTTTTTTTTCTCATTGTCAGGTTTTCAGTCTATTCAAGGGTGAATCAGGATGCTCACAGAGTGTAGTGAGACTGTATCCATTCAATTTGGAAATGTAACCAGAAATCCTTCGAGAAAAAATAATGTATTGCACTAAGCTTTCTATATACTTGCTAGTTTGAGTAGTATTTAAATTCAAGTATATCAAGTATTAATATCCAGAGATTTATTCACTGAAGCTATGACCCTGCAAGCTGATCTGCACTGAAGTCTATTTAGAAAAGTATTGAAGGTCTCTATGTACATGGTGTTGCTTAAAACTAGAGTAGAGACTTCCAGGTAACTCCCTGGCAGACACCTGAGCCCACCCATCAGTGAGAACCTCTAGCATGCCAGTGTTATTTGCCTTTCTATTTACAAAAATATAGTATGACTTGTTGCATTTTAACAGGGTTATTGTCACTCTTTCTTGAATTTCTCCATATAATCACTAAACCTTTTATTTCAGTGTTCATAAATAGAAGGAACAAAGGGAGGATGAGAGACATGATGGCTTTATTTACACCATACAGTGGAGTACAGTGCATATATTTCTTACCTGCTACTGACTAAGTCTAACTTGGCTGTGAAAATAATTGTATTAACATAGGATGGACTTTAGGCTAGTTGGAGATCCTGTTCCAGAATCTTGTCCTTGATATCTCAGGTCTGATGAGAGAAGCTGGGATGCAGCACTGTGACTGGAAGAGTTCTCTGCTGAGCATAAAATAGGCTGTAGTGATCCAGGATCAATAGGCTGTAGTGATCCTGAGAAGAACAGCTCAAGAACAGCTGAATGCTGTTCTCAAGAACAGCTGAATGCAAATGACAACGTTGAGCAGCAGCTGGAGATTGGGAATAGTGTTCTGTAATTTCTCTGGGTGCAAATATCCAATGGCTGCAATGCTATTCATCACCCCAAACTAAGTACAGATTAATAGTAATATTAATGCTCATTGATTCATTGATTACTCTATGTGTTTCCATGTGACATGATACTTCAATTCCACAACTTAATTTCCACAACATTTTCTGTGTTCCACATGACATGATACTTCATTTTTCTACTCATTTTCAGATTTCTTTGCAGACCTACCTTTCCAGACAGGCTATGAAATGCTTGGTAAAGAATAAAGAAAAGCTAGAAAAATGTCTAGATAAGAGCTGAAATAGAGTGGGAAGGAAGGGAAGGGAAGGGAAGGGAAGGGAAGGGAAGGGAAGGGAAGGGAAGGGAAGGGAAGGGAAGGGAAGGAAGGGAAGGGAAGGAAGGAAAGGAAAGGAAAGGAAAGGAAAGGAAAGGAAAGGAAAGGAAAGGAAAGGAAAGGAAAGGAAAGGAAAGGGAAAGGGAAAGGGAAAGGGAAAGGGAAAGGGAAGGAAAGGGAAAGGGAAAGGGAAAGGAAAGGGAAAGGGAAGGGAAAGGGAAAGGGAAAGGGGGGAAAGGGAAAGGAAAGGAAAGGAAAGGAAAGGAAAGGGAAAGGAAAGGAAAGGAAGGAAGGAAAGGAAAAGAAAGGGAAAGGGAAAGGGAAAGGGAAAGGGAAAGGGAAAGGGAAGGGAAAGGGAAAGGGAAAGGGAAAGGGAAAGGGAAAGGGAAAGGGAAGGGAAAGGGAAAGGGAAAGGAAAGGGAGGGAAGGGAAGGGAAGGGAAAGGAAAGGAAGGGAGGAAAGGAAAGGGAAGGGAAAGGGAAAGGGAAAGGAAAGGAAAGGAAAGGAAAGGAAAGGGAAAGGGAAGGGAAGGAAAGGGAAGGAAGGAAAGGAAGGGAAAGGAGGAAGGAAGGAAGGAAGGAAAGGAAGGAAGGAAGGAAGGGAAACGGAAAGGAAAGGGAGGAACGACGGAAAGGAAAGGAAAGGAAGGAAAGGAAGAAAGGAAAGGAACGGAAAGGAAAGGACACGGAACGGAAAGGAAAGGAAGTAAAGGAAAGGAAGGAAAGGAAAGGAAAGGAAAGGAAAAAGGAAAGAAAAGAAAAGAAGGAAAGAAATAAGAAAGGAGAAAAGAAAAAGAAAAAGAAAGAAAAAGAAAAGAAAAAGAAAAGAAAAGAAAAAGAAAAGAAAGAAAAGAAAAGAAAAGAAAAGAAAAGAAAAGAAAAGAAAAGAAAAAAAAACTATTATTCTTTCTGTGGAATGTGGATATGATTAAAAAATGTTACTGTTTGTCTCTCTTCCCAAATACACCTTCACTGACTTTGTTTTTTCTGCATTGTCCCAGAAGTCTTTCTGCCATGGATTATTCATTCAGATTATACAAGATTATTTTTACAGCAATTTTGTATATATTAAAATGTAATAAGAATAAATTGAAAGCATGGCAAGGAAACTGGTCTTTTATATTTTCAGATTCTTTGCAGATGTTCTCTTCAATGTTATTTGAATGCTATTTGCCAGCACTGTTTCCTAATTCCTTTTAATATTATTTTTATTTAATAGCTCCTTGCACCTGCAGACCTAAAAACACTTGAACATGGAGTAAAATTATCATAACCCAAACCTATGAATAGGAAACAGGCACAAGGTGATAAAGTCATTTGCCAAACATTGCAAAGTTGTTCGGTTTAGAAGTATTAATCAAGTATGTTATCAGCTGTGACACACTGGAAAACATTTTACTTTTTTTTTTTTTTTCTTTTTTTTTAATTAGCACTCAGTGCTGACTGGTTTCACTCACTAACATCTGAACAATGTCTGTAACACAGAACAGGGGTCTCTAGGTGCTAATACAGTCCTAAAATATAATAACTACAGTAGTTGAAATATCTTTTAGATATTTTTGCCTAAATTCTTCTTTCCTTGTATTAGTGTTTTGCAGTCCCAAGATGAATGATGGGTCAGTCTGTTAGGATACAGGAAAAGTCCTCCTCTGTTACAGACTTCCTGTGGCAACATCAATGATTATGTGCTATGTGCTGTGGAGATATTCCTGTCTCTGGGGCAATTTGTTCCCACAAGAACAAGTCTGGCTTTGGCTGAAGGGAAGATGTGGGCAGGATGGGTGTTTTCTAGGAGTGAAATGCACTTCTGGATCCTACAGTTCAGACTAGTGAGTAGGTTGTGTCGGTAACCTGGTTTGACCCTTTACCTCTCCGTTGCTCAGCAGCCTGACACAAAGTGGAAAATTATTTCTCTATCTTCTGGTAAGTGTGAACATACGGTGTTAGAAATGAGATATGAGCAGTACATTATTCAAGGACCTATGATAGGCAGATAGTTAATTTTAGAAACATCGTCAAATATTTTAAATCAATATATACAATATCCATATAAAGTCCTCTTTAAATTTATAATCTCGGTACTATTTCTAAGAGATATATTCTGTCAAAAATAAATAAATAAATAAATAAATAGAATCAATATGTCCTTAAGGTCTAGTCAAAATAACTTGTTTCATCTATGATCATTTCACACACAAAGCCAGACCAACTACACAAAGCTGGCAAAAGGGAAAAAAGCAAACAAAGAAACAAACAAAAAGTTTCTCCCTACCTCCCCAACATACAGATTTTATATCTTCCTAAACTTTTCTTGGAGCATAAACAAACTTGTGGAAATTGCAGTTATTTGTGATGAGGTGAAGCACAGATACACAGAAGGGAGGGAGGAAAAAGATTTTGCTGAATTTGACAAATGTTTTATGCTGATTCATTAATGTTATGCAAAGAAATATGATAAATAACATTTACAGAAACATTCAAATCTGTAAATAAAAATGTGCAAAATGATAGAACAATTGCTTCCCTACCATCTTCATACTTAACAAATCTCTCAGCTCTCCCGTTAAACCTTTCAGTCTTGCGTATCTAAAAGAGCAGCTGGATAAGATAACTGCTTTGTATGTGGATAGGAGGATGTGTCCTTTACCATCTATTTTCATTGGTTTAGGTGATATAATTGCCTCTGAATACAGCCACAGATCTGATTGACTTTACTGTACCTAAAAAATAAACAGAAACAAATTGCTGCCTAAAGGCATCAGCAGTCAAAACATTGCTGGTAATTACTCTTGAAGTTAAAAATTCCTCCAGGAATACCTTCCTTATCAAACAATTTAAATTTGTGCATTATCAGACCAAAGTTTTGTTTCTTCAAACTATTTTGCTTGGTTTGCCTAAGATGGGGAAATTCTGCAATATTTCTCCCTTTTCTCAGATGTTCACAATTTTATTGTCTGCTACACCTCCTCCCCCCCACCCCACCCCCCACCCCCAATTTCTGCTTTACATATACAGTCTTTACTTACCATTTCACAGTGGAGTATTAGGATATCTGACAAAGTATTCCTGCAGCACATGTAGAAAACAGCTTGTCCAGGAGGGCAGAAAATAGTTCTGGGCTTGTTCTCCCTTCCTCATCTGAAATAGGGAACATGCACCTCCTTTGTGCTAAAATTTGTGCTTTCTCAGTTAGCTTAAGGTTTACCTACTGCTTATATACCTCTTAATGTAGAAGGATATCATGACTGCAGAGCCACCTGAAAATGAAACTGTAGCAAATCCATACCACAAGGCTTGCATCCTTGGTCACCATCAGTGTATCAGTAACCATTTGATACACAGGTGGTTGGCGCAGCAACTTGATTATTTTTCCCTTTTTATAGACAAGGATATGAATATTACACGTCCAATGTAATCAGAATCAACATACTGACACATAAAAATATTTTCAAGAGAATGAATTTTTAATGATTTTTAAACAGTACAATGAAACACTTGAGGCAGGCATACATCAGTTGTTCCCATGAAGCCCACTGCCAGTGGTCAGACTTCCAAGGCCATCAGAAACCATGGTCATCATCATAATCACCTGAAACTAAGCCTCTATCATGCTCTTAAGTCTGTCTCAGCAAAACAGATAGGCAGTTTTGATTAAGGGGATGTAATTGTATGTTTCAATGAAGATAGATGAATTTAAGCATATGTGAACTTCATTCACTTGCTTATCTTCTGTCAAGACCTCAGTATTTTCATTGCTTGCTGGAGAGACTGCAGGGTACTGTGGAAACAAAGGCACTGTTTGAAATCATCATTGCAGTGAGCTCTAATGAGTCATCCACAGCACTTCTTTAAACCTATCACACTGACCTTTCTCTGCATGCTTTTCCTTTTTGCGTTAACAGCATTTTTACTTAATACGTTGTCGTACAAGGCTATGGAGAAGGATTTTAAAGCTTTCATTTTAATTCTAACAATGAAATACAAGTACATCACTTCTAAAACCTGCTGACAGTATAAAACATGCCACTATAGAGGAAAAATACACTTTGTCAAGATGGCACCTTGACAGTGCATATGTATGAGCCTCCCCTAGTGATTTCCTTGTCATGCTTGCTTAGTCTAACACTCAGAGCAAGGTTCTCTCTCCCATTTGTTTGCTTAGCTATACCCAGTCCTATGAGGTCAACAGGGTGACTAATTTCTGAAGAGTATAAAAAATATAAACATAATACAGCCTATAATAGTGCCAATCACACCAAACCCAGAAATATTTAGGGATAGAAGTGTGTGGAGTGTGTGGTGTTTATTTGTTTGTTTGTTTTTTCTTCTTTTTGTTCCTTTCATTTTCAGTGTATAGATGTTGTGATTTCACTATTAGCTCATTTGCATCAAAAATGAAATAAGCTAGGTATGGACAAAAGCTGAGCAGAAGAATTGAAATAACAAAATTAAGAAAAATAGTAAAATAAATAGGAAAAAATGCACAAAACATAAAATAATGTGAAATATATGAAGTTTTAATGATGCTGGTACACAAATGAAAGCATATATTTTGTCTGCAGTTGCTAAACAGGCTGTAATTTCCTAGTCTGTGATGTGTACAAACCATACTAGGGAGAACTTTGCATGTGAAAAAATACATGTACAGCTGTATTGAAACACTTAATAAATTCATCTCTTTGCCAATTGTTCTTGTCAAAAATGCAGAAAAAAAAAAAATGTTTCATTTCAACATTTTATAAAACAAATGTTTTGCTTTTAATCAATACTAAAAGTCCTTTGATGCCAGTATATCCACATTGATTGGGGCTGCTTTTAGAGCTGCCAACAAACAGAAAAACCTGTTATTCATGCAACTTTATTTATAGAAAATGCATACGCAATTGAGAAAACCATACAAAGTTAAAACAATTATTTGTTTTTGGACATCTGCAAGCTCTTTTATGAAAGACTAACTCTTTTCATGTGCATAAATTTAATACATAATATATGTTTCTTATTTTTTTGGATATTATTTTAATAACACTACACTTTTGTAAGAAAGGAGAAAAATAAAAACCAAACAGAAAATCAGTGTAAAACGGTGAATTTGCCACCTCAATAAATCTAAAACCTAATTTAGAGGTGTATGCAAAATCATTCTGCTGTTATTCTGTTCTTTCTTATATGTTACAAGATAATGTAGACACAAGTAGTAAAGTGCAAATTCTTCCCAGATGTGAGGTAGGAATACATAAAAATCTCTGAAGGTATGTTTGTGTCCACTCATGCTATGCTATGCAGATGCACACTTTGATATATGCAATGCTTTAGCCCCACATTTGTACTTACTTCAATATCTTATTTTTTCTTTCTCTCTCCCTCCTTTCCCCCACTTTCTTTAGCAGAATTTGAATTAGGATTAGGAGTAAGAAGAAGTTAACAGAGAGTTTCTTTTCCTAGGCCAATCCAGACTTTGAGAGGTCTTCTTGCCAAAATATATATTAGTAACTATTTCTCATTATCAACTCTTAATGCCTATTCTTATTCTTATGTATTTACCACATAGTCACACAGTCCTTGTCAATTTGGGGCCTGCTAAATCTCAGGTGACATAGGAGATTACAAATTTCTTTGGTTCCAATATTTGCAAGAGGTCATTTCAGCCTACTGGCTGTCTTCTTCTACATTAAAAAAAAAAAAAAAAAAAAAAAAAAAAAAGAGGAAAAACTCTGAAGTACAGTTTTTATCTCCTGACATCTCATGCATTTGGACAATTGAGTAATTTTGGAACCATCCAATGTCCTGGTGCATTTTCTGAGCCTTTCCTACAGCCAGTGATGGACACGAGGATGGATGTAATGCAGAGCTGGATTTTGATAAACAGCTCCCAGAAGATTCCTAAGTAGCATCCTGCCTACAGGCTCATTTATTTTGCATCTCCCTTTGTGAAGTGATATTACAGCACCTCTTTGAAAATACAGTCTTGGAAGGAAAGCAAATGGATCCCCTGACAAAGTGCTAGAGCTGAGAGCTTTCAGCTCACATCAGCCTAAAAGCCAGGGTTTTGCAGCGGACTTTTCCTGGGCACCCATAGTTATGTAATGCACTACTTCAACAGAGCAGTTTTTCCTCCAAACCTCTGTAGGGATCAAGTGGGAGGCCTTACTATCACAAACATTTCTGGTGCATGTTTGAAAGCCTCAAACACAGGTGATTATCTAAAGATCTCCTCATTTACTCTTCACATAAATGGTTTCCAGCAGGCAGTTCCCCAGATCATCTTTTGAAGAAATTGCAGAAACAAATTTTGGGAAATACCTTCTGATGAGAGGTATGTGAGCACAAGTAAGCATTTTCATAGGCTATTTTTTCAAAGATCTATCACAATTTCAAGGAAAACAAGTCTAATATAGACATGTCTAATATAGACGTTTTTCCCCACTGTGAGAGGGAGGAGTCAGGGAACAACTAGTATGATTAAAATACAAATGTGTTATTGTGAAAAAAAAAAAAATAATTCAGAAATAACAATGTACTGAAATTTCACAGTGGAATAAAATAATAAAATTAATTACCCTTCTCTGGGCAGTCAGTGATTTCCAGAAGATTCGGGATATCTGATGTGTGAAGAAGATGTCAATCCATATTATTTCACGTGACTTCTCACTGGTCACCTGTGAGGAAACTTGTTTGGTTGCAATGCAGAGAACAAGATGACAAAGTATAATCTCATTTGCGCTGTTCCTATTTTCAAAATATTGTGATTTAAAAAATCTGTTTAATTAATTTGCTTGGTCACAAACTTTATTCTAATTTTCCATAGTCTTTCTTTTCCTTTGTTGTGTATCAGACAGCAGGTGATGCATGAATAGAGACATGTCAGGGTTGGTCTGTGAGGTTTTTCATATATTTTCAACTATTTGATTCAAGATAAGAAGACAGATAGTAAGATTTATTGCTCATTACTAACAAGCTAGAGAAGTGAGAAACAAAGGAAATAAACCAAAAGCACCTCCCCCCCCATCCACCCTCTTCCACCTCCTCCCCCCGAGCGGCGCAGGGGAACGGGGGAATGGGGGTTATGGTCAGTCTACAGCACTTCTTCTCTGCCGCTCCTTCTCGGTCACTCTCGTCCCCTGTGCTGTGGGGTCCCACCCACGGGATGCAGTCCTTGACGAACTGATCCGGCGTGGGCTTCCCACAGGCAGCAGCTCTTCCAGAACTGCTCCAGATATGGGTCCGTACCACGGGGTCCATCCCTCAGGAGAAAACTGCTCCAACCTGGCTCCCCTACGGGCAGCAGCTCCTGCCAGGTCACCTGCTCCTGCGTGGTCTCCTCTCCACGGGCTACAGGTCCGGCCCGGAATCTGCTCCGGCAGGAGTCTTCCACAGGTGTCAGCCTCCATCGGTGCAGGGCCACCTGCTCCACCATGGTCTCCTCCACAGGCTGCAGCATGGAACTCTGCTCCACCGTGGTACTCCATGGGCTGCAGGGGGACATCCTGCTTCACCATGGTCCTCACCACAGGCCGCAGGGGACTTCTGCTCCGGCGCCTGGAGCACCTCTCCCCCTCCTTCTACACTGACCTTGGCACCTGCAAGGCTGTTTCTCACTCCCTTGACTCTCCCGGCTGCTGTGTGGCGCAGCGTTTTTTCCCTGTCTTAAATATGCTCTCACAGAAGCGCAAAACAACATCGCTTATTGGCTCAGATCTGGAAAACAATGGGGCCCTTCCCAAACATGGGGAGGCTTCTAGATCTTTCTCACAGAAACCACCCCTATGGCCCCCTGCTACCAAAACCTTGCCACGTAAACCCACTACAGCTGCCTAGGGAGGTTGTGGAGTCTACTTCTCTGGAGATATTCAAGGCCTGTCTGGACGCCTACTTGGGCAGCCTGCTCTGAGCAACCTGCTTTGGCAGGGGGGTTGGACCCGATGATCTTTTGAGGTCCCTTCCAACCCCTACAGTTCTGTCATTCTGTGATTCATCTCCCTCTTTGGCTAACACTGAGCAATACTTTCAGGAGCTTATTTTTCCAGTCTAAAATCTGAGTTATCTAAAGGTGCTACTAAAAACAACTGTGAGCCCACACTATCTGGGTTAATTAGGTGAATGATCAGGGTGCCCAAAATGCAATGAAAGTGAGGCCATGATACAGCCATATGTTCTCTTACATTATCTCAGATATGTGGGGATGGCAGCTTCCATCAGAAGAGCACTAAGTAGGAGTGAAGATAACTCCTTAAACCACACGAGACAACACTTGCCTATGCCATCTGCTAGAGATCAGAAAGCAAACACAGAGCAGTTTTTAGCAAACAGAAAGATCTCTGTAAATGGAGCTTTTGGTCATTTCTTCACTCTTTAATTTACAGTAAATAATATTCAATTGGATTAAATCAGAGTGGAAAGTTGTAATACAAGGACTAAATTTAAATTAAGTACATCTGGAGAGATGAGTACATTATGGTTTATTAGGTGTTTATTACAGAACAGAGGTTGAAATGCCAATGTTAATTTCATTTTGACTTTGTTATTATAATTATTCATTAACCATTAGGTTTCTATCACTTTTTCTTTAATTCTGGAACTATCAAACACAAAGCTTTTTGAATGAACAAATACAGCATTTGAATCTCTTCCTTTCAAAAAAAAAAAAAATCTCCAGTCTACTCTGCAGGTAGCAGAAAATGTTTGAATGTTTAAGCACATATCTATTCCATGAATTTGAGAACAGATTTTCAAATTTAACTGTTGAAATTCAGGCACCAAAACTCAAAGTGAACAGGCTCATTTTTACTGTTTCTGAGAACTATGAGTTACTTTAGATTTGGAAATAACATTTCCAAAAGTTAAAAAATCCCAGTTCCTGAATTCTTAAGGAAGGTAACAGAAAACAGGTTTGCAGGATATGTGTATACTTTTGGACATTTTTTCTTTAGCAGTCTCCTTTAGCTGCCCAAGTTTGAGGACATTAACTTGTAATAGCCATCTTCTAGGCAAAGCATTCAGAATCTGTGACATAGCATTTGGCTGACTCAAGCTTGTCTCTTTCTGTAACAGAAATTGGCTTCCCTACTACCCCGTGACTTACCATCACAGTGCTAAACACTCTCCAGAACCCTTTTGAAAGGGATGATTCATCCCTGGGGTATTTTTAGGAATTTGTTAACTTGCATTTAGCTTAGTGTGCTAGTAGCCAATAAAAAGAGTGAAGACAAGCTTTGAGTAGTCACACATAAACCATTTTGAATGCTATAATTGTACTACATTATCTTGGTCTGTAGACTGAGTCATCTGCTGGTTAAGCAGAATGGAAAAAACAGCATAAGACTGTTGCTACAACAGGGAGTTTGATAAAATGCTAAAGAAATCAGTGTTAGAAACCATATTATATTTATCTTCCCAGGATTACACCTGCTTGTTCTAGGCACAACTTGCAATACATGTTGATTTTTCAAAAGTTAATAATATTTTCCACGAGAATATTTCAAAAATATAAGTGTGAGTGTCACAGAATACATTGTCTAAGATTAGTCTCACATACTAATGTACCTTTCTGAGGAAGTCTGATGCAAGATAGTGACCATCTTGTGTCACTATGTTTTTCAACCCATCTGAAAGAAGATTGAAACACAGCAAGCACTGCTTATTCTACATGGCTGAGGACCCAATTTTGCTAGCAATTGGAATTATGCCCAAAGTGGAGTGTTGGAAAGAAGAAGAAGGGAGAGGGAGGAAAATAAGAAAACTAGAGCAAAAAGCAGTTTGTTAATAGCTCATCTGACCAGTTCAAACCAAGCACAAATTAGAAACAAGTTTTGCAGCAGTTAGCTTAACAAGCAGGCAATAAGTAAGTGAGATTTTACACCGTCCTTGGGACTGTGAAATGAAACCTAGCTTTTGGCAGCCAGAGTAGGGGAATGCCACTTCATGGAGAATAGAAAGTGATGAATTACAGGAACTTGGCACACTGATCAGATCATCTCATCCTCCCACTCACAGCAATAAGACCCTGGCATCCTAGTTTACACAAATATCAGAAACATGATCTTCATCAAAGCACACATGTATTAGAAGGCAGTGACACGGTCTGTCATGTTCTTTTATAGAGAGTTCTTCAGTGCATGTCATTCAGCTGTCTGCCTACACTACGTGTAATGAATTAAAATGGTGAAGTAAACGTTTAGCTGTTCAGAAAATAAGAATGATTTTGCTTTTTCCATTGAAGAATGCTGAATCAGTGAAAGCAAAATATTTTTCCAAAATCCTTGTGAAACTGTAGTAGAAGATAGGGTTTTGATGGATCAGATCATGACAAAGTATTTCAAAACCTTCTATAACCACATGCCGGGATACCTGCTGAGTTCTTTAGCACCTGATTAATGAATAAAGAGGTGAGAGGACAAAGATGCTTGGAGCATCTCATTTACAACTTGCCTGAAGTTTTCCAGGGTTTTCAAATTCATGGGCCAATCCACATGGGCTCATGTGGATTTGGAAGCCTGGAAACTCTGAAAACTTCACAGTTGCTGCCCTGGTTCTGCAGTGACCATGATATTTTCCAGCTTCCCAGTTAATGCTGCTCTCAATTTTTTCACCTTTGACATAATGAAACATTAATTGAATCAAAAAAAGATTTTCTTTATGGGTTGGTAGTTTAGAAGACCACCTGATTTAGAACAAGTGCTTGACTACAAGCTGATGGATGCCTTCATTCTGAAATATTAGTTGGCACAAGAACTGGGTTTCATATGACTGCCCTAATTATCAGGCTATAAAGCAACATTAATGTCTTGATGAATATTTTATTTTGAATTGCACAATGGAATAGAATAACAGGAGAGACTGAAGAAGCCGCCTATCTCAAGTACCAAGCTTCATAGATCTCTTTAGGAGACATTAGACCTTTCAAGCAAATGGAACAGAAGCCAACTCCCCTAATTCTGTGTTGGTGTTTCGTGTTTGGTCAACCACATGCTCCTCGTTATGCCTGGAACTTTATTATGAGTGTATAGGACAAACTTGTAAGTAGTTTTTCTTCCCATGACATCTTTTCGGGGGGGAGGGGGGGGACGGGGAGGGAGGGGAGGGGTGGGAGGGGGGGGGAGGGGAGGGGAGGGGAGGGAGGGAGGGAGGGGAGGGGAGGGGAGGTGGAGGGGTAGGGGCGGAGGAGGGGGGGTGGGAGGGGAGGGAGGGGAGGGAAGGGAAGGGAAGGGAAGGGAGGAAGGGAAGGAAGGGGAAGGGAAGGGAAGGTAAGGGAAGGGAGGGAAGTCGGAAGGAAGTGAAGGTCCGGGAAGGCTGTGAAGGAAGGCCTTCAGTTCACTGGTGGACTGGTCCTGGTCCTTTCCTTTTCCTTTCCTTTCCTTTCCTTTCCTTTTCCCTTTCCTTTCCTTTCCTTTCCTTTCCTTTCCTTTCCTTTCCTTTTTCCCACATAATTAGCTCTTACCTAAAGAAACAAGACACAGTGCAAAGTCACCAATCTATTAGAGATTCCATCAGAAATCAGAAAGTTTGTAATGTAATGGTGTATTAAAAACAATCTTGCAGTTTAATCACAGTAGTTCTTATGTAATTTAAATCAGTAAAAAATGTTACAATATTGAGACACTGAGTGCAATAATAATGAACTGCCAACATCTAATTTATTACAAACATTTTTTATTATTTATTTAAAGACTGCATATACATGTATGCATAGAATGCTTCCTTCCATCAAAAAGTACTTGTAAGGATTTCATTTTGTGTTGTGTGTTCTTTCACATTAGTTTGTCCTACAACAACCTTGATGAAATTTCAAGCTTGAATTTGAGATAAAAAGCTTTCTATTTGAAAAGTCATCTACAGACACATTTATAGCTGATGTTTCTTCTGTTTCTCTGGGTCTATGTCAACTTGATAGAGGTTATGTTAGAATGTCCTCACCAGCTTTACTGTTACTGCTCTTTATGTTGTGAACAAGATGACATGCATCAAAAGAGTGCTTCTTCAAAGACTGTCTAATGTTAATAGTGCCTACTAAGATGAAGTATATGGCAAGCATGAAAGGTTTTCTGTTCTTTTGTTTCCTCCTCTGCAGAGAAAGTTGTCTTATTAATTTCTATCAGACAAACACTTGCCTTGGTATCATACAAGAAGGCACTGACCAACATGAGACCAGATACCTCTCAGTAATTCTATTTAAAACACTTTCTCTGTCAAAATTAGCAAAACAGAGCTGGGATTGTCTGTTGAATGAGCAACAAGATGAAAGCAGTGCTGCTATCTGATATTGTTGTTGAGATTTCCTCAGCATAAATTCATCTTTGACCCATTTTCTGGAGAATGACACAGAGTGGTAAGGGCAGCAAAAAAGGAAATGTTGGCAGATGCAGAAGAAATAAAAACACAGGAATTCAGGAAGTAGTTGGTAGTATGAAATGAAAGCCTGACACCCAAAGGCTAAAACAGAACCACTGCAAAGCTGGGGACAGTAACCACACTGTTGAAATTGTACAATTTGTTATTTTTTGATGTTGTTTTTGTCCATTTTATTTCCTAAGCGATTTTTTTTTTTTTTTTTTTTTTTCCCCAGGAACAATCCCAAAGAACAAGAAGTTAAAATATAGCTAGGTTGTAATTTAATCACTGAGGCCAGATTAATTACCACATATAGCCCATATTTCAGTGAAAGCCCTTCCTAAATATCCAAATTTATAACTAGCATAGACACACAGGATAAGCATATATCCCTGATATAAGGCTACAGTGTTAAGTCCTGTTCTCTGGCAACTGAACAATGACATTTTAGAATATTGTAACACCAACAGAAAATCCAAATGAGAATCTCATGTAAGAGAGTTGGAGAAAAAGAAGCTGCAGTTCCCCACTACAACACATTAGGGTTTGCTGCATCTGATTATTCTGTTGCTGTTCTTCATAATGTTTCTTGTCTGTCTGGCATGGGCACTGTGAAAAAGCATATTAAATAAGATGAATCACCATTTGCTTCATATAAGTTAGCTCTTCTTATACCTTTGTGATAGTTAATAACAATTGTTACCAAATATCAGTTCACAAAGACTGTTTAAAACTCCTTAAGATTATATTGAGACAAGACTCCAAATGAACAAAACAAAATAAATTTCACTCCAATTTCCCCCTAGCCAATGCAAACAAGGAATATGGTTTTCTGGAGAAGCCTGATGCCTTGAATGTTCCTTCATTCATGTAACCATGTAAACATGTAATCCAGTTGATTTATTGCTTCACATATTTCCTTGACTGACTGCTACTAAAGTAAAAATTGATTTTTAGCTTATTTTCATTCTTTCTGGTTTTCATCAATTACCTGTATGGCTTTATATATACTCATGCTTTCCTTTTTACTTTTTCTTCATTGCCTCTAACTTTAACTTCATCTTTAAATCACCAATAAAACGTGGTTGACATCCTCTTTTTTAATTCAAATCTCCTCAGTTTCCTTGTGTGTCTGTAACATAACCAGTCTGGCCAAAGTCTTCCATCTCCACCCACAGTAATTTCCAAAATGAGATCATGATTCATTCTGTGGTGCTTTTATTCAGAGCATAAACTTATGTTTCAATAGCTCCATGACTGGCACCTACTCTTACAAATCCTGAAGAACAATTTGCAAAGGGATTTCCTTTTAGATCCCTGTTATTTATGAGTTGCATGACATAAGCATGTAAAGCTCTTTTAAAGAGATAATGGAGCTTTTAGTGATTTTCCCCATTAATTGGGCTTAAAGAACTTCTTGTCCTAATGCAGTTGTAACTGTTTTGTGGTGACTTGGTTTCAACACTTTCAATTGCTGTTTCTCCTACTGTGCCATGACCAGAAAGGAAAAAGGATGAGAAGAGAAAGGAAAAATGAATCAAAAAAAAAAAAAAAAAAAAAAAAAACCACAAAAGAGAGAACTGAATTTGCATTTGTGTGTAATAGAGGAATAACTTGAGAATTTGCCATTAGTTGCAAAACTCATTTTCTCAAATACTGTAATCAACTGTTTCTAAAAAGCAACCCCAGTGTGTAGGAGGTTATTTTAATTAACAAGTACTATCAGCACTTATCATAGCACCATAAGAATTGGTGACCTTTCAAATGGCCTTAACATGAGAAGCTGGCTTCACAGGGGTATTGCTGTTATTATTTTAAAGCATGTGGAAGTACTTTTTTTTTTTTCTTGATTTTGCAAATAAAAAGTGAACATTAGATTATGATAGAAAAATGCCATCTTCTGTTTTATTCTTTATTCTTTTCTAACTCTCCTTTTTTTTTTTAATTATTATTATTTTAACTGCAGTGAGCCCTGAGTCAGCATTTTCCACAGAATTTGATACTAACCTTCACTCTGAAGTAGTACTGCTATTACTGCATACCTAAAATGAGGAACATCCCACTGAAATACATTACCTTACATTTATCTACACTAAACTTCATCTTCCATTTTATCAGTTGGGTATTCAGCACAGCCAGGACTTTGCTAGGTCCTTCTGAAATGCTGATGAAGTCAGCATGCATTTTTTACTACTTTAAACAGCATAAGCTTCCCAGCAGATTTTGTCATTTCATCTTATTCCTCCTTCTAGATCATTTATGGATAAGTTAAGAGCACAGATCACTGAAGTATACTAGTGAAAATTTTCCTGTACTGTTTTTTTGCTTGTTTTATTTTGTTTTGCTTTTGTTTTTCCCCCATGTGTTTATTTATGTAAGCACCATCCCAATGACAATTTGATTAAAAAACAAACAAACAAAACAAAACAAAACAAAACAAAACAAAACAAAACAAAACAAAAACCTTCAGCAAGCTAAACTTCCAAATGAATTCTGGTTATTCAAATAGATTGTATCAACCAATTTTCTCCCATACCCATGACTGCTAATCTCACCAAAGAGGCCTAGCAGTTTTTAACCTATACAAAATACATGATTGTTCTCTCCTAATCTATATCTATATATCACATACATCATATAAATTCTATTATTACATGTTGCCTGATCTGTGTGGTATGGCTGTGAGAATTACAGATTAAAATTTCTCCAGATTTTCCCTCAAATAATTTTCAGTATTTGGCACCATATTAACTATCTTTGAGTCCTCAGAGACCTAAGCAAATCTTACTGAAAGATGGCATACCACAGTTATAACTCACCTGTTGCAACTGAGTAGGACTCCTGGGTGAGTAAAATACCTGGTTCTGGCAATGTATTCTACAACTCCTTCTTCTTTCACTTCAATTTGAACCATGTCCTCTTTTCAGCTATGAAAATCAAAAAGATCAAGTTTAAGAACCACACCATACTCTTCCAAAGCAAACAAACACACACATACAAAAGCAATGTCTGTGCTAGATACCATTTTCAGTCTTCCTTGGACTTTGCACATCTAAGCACAATCATCCATACACAGAAAGAATAATGAATTATGCATAACTTCAGACTTCTTTGAAGAAAAAAAATATGTTCAAAACATTTCCGTGGTCAAATGTTTCAATGAGTAACTCTCATTGATAAATAGGGGCAGGTGGGGAATCTGTATAAAACAACTTGCAAAGCTGTTTGCAGGGATTTTGTTCTTCTGATCAGGGTCATATGAAATAATCATCTGATACATGCTGTGCTTGTTTGATATAAATCTACAAGACTCTCATATAAAGAAACTGTATTGAAGCAACAGGATCACCTTATAAAATAAGCAGGATGAAAACATGAGTATTAATTTAGGATATAAAAACAGCTCAGGAGCCCACATGCTTAAAAGTTTTCTGTAATTTGTTAGGGTAGTTCTCAGTAACAGGAGACAAAGACACATTGAAAGTGGACCTGACTAAAGAATATAATGATGTTATTAATGGAGTTTTCAAATCTTGCAAAGTGCTAAAATAAATGAATGTTCAATCATTTAAAATAATCAATCTATTCTCATACATAGAAGATTTAACAGTTATGATTTTTATTTTTATTTTTTTCAGTATGAAAGGAAAGAAGACTGAAGTGACCCCTCAACATATTCCTATCTCATGATACCTTTGTAATACCATATAGCTGTTACAGAAACAATCTTCAATAGGGTTCTCTATTAGAAATTCCTCTATATAGATTTTTTTTATTTTTTTTTTTTCCAGTGGGCAGTAGTATTGATTATACTTCCTATCTGCAGCCCCACAAGTTTGGCCTTTTCTGTCTCCTGAAGGCTGGCAGCAGGATTCAAGCAGCAGGATACTAAGCAACTTGCCCATAAGTTCCCTCTGCGTATCTGCCTTGGTATCTCATTTTGATTTGCTTATATTAATACTCTAGGTGGGATTAAACATGTTTAAACTGTTGTTGAGATCGTCTGCAAGACTGAGAAACTCTGTAGATGTTTAGGCCTATGTGACCGACCACCTTTGCCCCTGCTGAGTGCTTCTGGAGGATTAGTAGATTCAGTATAATCACTATGCTGGTGTGCCAGGAGGATAAAGGGGGCAACATGCTTCTTTTCCCTGGCTGGAAAGACAATGGGTTTGGAGAGGATCTGTAGCCAGTTCAGCGTCTATGTGCATAGGAGAGGCAACACTGAGCTGCAAAGTATGTCAACAGAGAGAGGTTTGTTATCGTTTCCATGGCAGTGAGAGCAGGGAGGAATGCCTAACTGTTTACATTCTTTCATATGCAGCCTGCTTACATTTCTAGTGTCCTCCCGTTATCAATCACCTTCCTGAATTCCTGCAGTGAATCACGTATGGACGTATGGACGAGCTGCAGTTGGTGGTTTTTTACACTCAGGTGCTGATAAGAGTATCTTTCTGCTTGTGTCAGCTTCTGCTCCATAAACAGCCTCATTGACCCATTTCCCCAATACTCTGGGTAATAAGTGAAGGCTTTTCAAGGATTATATTGTTAAACTGAAATTAGCCTTCACTATGTGTTTGCAGTGATGTTAATGTACCAATATATAACACAAAAAAAAAAAAATCTTGCATTGCTCAGTGATTTTCCGTCATGGACCAGAAATTTTTGAAAGTCTCTGTAACTGCTTATTTTGGGGTTTAAAATGGCCTTCATGGTTACTCTGCATTTCATGAACCTTTGGGCATGTATAGTGTAAATATCTACATATAATCTCACCACTTCTCTTACCCCTATATTAACAGAGAGAAATGGGGGGGTTAGGTGCTTTAAAATATGTTATGACTTGTGCTCTAGAAATGTGCAATTGTCTCCAATGACTAGAAAGGAAATTTGGATGACGTGCCCAGATACAGATGCCTATATTGCTCATGTCAAAGAAAAAAAAAAAAAAAAACAAACAAAAAAAAAAAACACTACCATTTTTGTCTGTTAGATAGCAGTTCCGCTGTTGCTATTATGGAGCATTCTATCCACTAACAATTTGTTATTCAACAAAATAAATGCATAAACAGAAATTATGGCAACTTTGAATAATAGAAATACCTTTAATTTTAAGACAAGATTGTCGTTTCATTCTGTGTTCATTAAAATGCATTTCTGACCTTGAAAACAGCCAAAACCAGTGAGAAAGAGTAAAACAGTATCAGCTGAAATAAGTTGAATATTCTGTTTGTATCACACAGTTTTGAAATGGGGAATAAGATTAACAGGAAAAAAAAAAAAGTTTCTTAGATTTCTGTTGAATTTGAGCTGAGTGTGACATTGTTTTGCAGGCAAAATTTCTGGGAAGAACAAGATTCATGGTTGCTCAGCCACATACCTTTCTAGTCTGTGTGTAAGAAGGCAGGAGTTTTCTAAAAAATAGTTCAGTTCACATGCCATTGAGATATGCAAGATAAGCCCTGTTTAGCCATTAGACCTGTTAGGCCATTAGACCTGTTCTGCGTTTGAAACAACTGTGTTGAGAACAGTATGGTTTGGCTTTCAGAAAACATATTAATAGAGTTTCTTTTATCAAAGTATTTATACATAATTAACTCTGATACCAACATTCAAAGCTGAATATTATTACTTACCTCCACATCCTTTCTTGAGTTAAGGAGTTCTGAGTTGTCCTGATCAACAACCAACCAGAAAAAAAAAATATATATATATATATATATTAAATTAAATTAAATTAACATCCCCCTAGAAAACAGATTGTAAGAAGTAGCACTGAGTAGTAAGTCAAAACTATTCACATTCTTAACAATAAAGAAATAGTGATATTTGAATAACAATACACCACTATTACCTGGAAGAAATTATAGATTGGAACCAGTTCATATTATAATCATTAAAAGGCAAGAAACATTATCAAGGTTCTCTTCAGAAGTATTTACATAAAATTCAACACTATATTTTTATAATTTAAGCAGACTTTACATTTTCAACAAAGATAAGTGAAACTAACAGGAGTACTTACATTAGTTGTTACTCTTCCCCTATCCACCAATGCTGTAACTCTATTGTAAAAGACCACCAGATTTGTCAGGCATGATCTGCCCTTAGTGAAGCCATGTGGACTGTCACCAATCACTTCCTTATTTTCCATGTGCTTTAGCATAGTTTCCAGGAGGATCTGCTCCATGACCTTGCCAGTCACAGAGGAGAGACTGACTAGCCTGTAGTTCCCTGGGTCTTCTCTTTTACCTTTTTAAAAATGTGGGTTGTTTCCCCCTTTTATTTATTTATTTATTTTTTTTGTCAATGGGAACTTCACCAGACTGCCATGACTTCTCAAAAATGATGGATACAGGTTTAGCAACTTCATCTACCAGTTCCCTCAAGACATTTGGATGCATGTCATCAGGTCCTATGGAATTAGGTACCTTCAGATTCCTTAGCTGGTTTCAATCCTGGTCTTCTCTGCAGTGGGCAGTTCCTTGATCTCCCAGTCCCTGCCTTTGCCTTCTGTGAGTTGGGTGGTGTGGCTAGAGCACTTGCCAGTGAAGACTGAGATAAAAGAAGTCATTGAGCACCTCTGCCTTCTACATATCCCTGGTAAATAGATATTCCATTCCCTTATGGAGAGGGTCCACGGTTTTCCTAGTCTTCCTTTTGTTACCTACAGAATCTTTTCTTGTTACCTTTGACATCCATGGCCAGATTTAATTATATCAATATCCTTGTAGTTCAGTTTCAAGCTGTGTAAATATAGGTTCTTGTCTGCTTAACCACAAATTCATTTATTTTCTTGGATATCTGACCGAAAGTAGTGTTAATATAATTTCTAAAAGATTTAACTGCAGTGAAATTTCCTACTTTGAAATTTGTTGCTGATGGAGGAAATTACTACATGTAACACTGCTGTTCTTCAACATTTGCATTAGCTGGTTACAACATTCATGCAGAACTTTTAAGTGATCTTCAACAGACTAAGCCTAACACACTTAGTATGAATAGGAGGGGAACTGTTAGACTAAGACAAGAGCAATACAAGTATGTGAAAATCAGTTTGTCTATGACATATCCCAAAGGGCTTTGAGCTGCCTATGAGGAATACATTTTGTGCCAGTCTCCACTATGAAGAGATGGAGATCCTTAAAGAATGTTCATCAATGGTAAATGGACTACCATGGTTTAGTGTTATATCATTAATTACACAATTGTATTTGATTAAAAAATCCCTACAATATCAGGTTGCACTTGATCTAGTCTTTCTTATGAAATAAAAAGAAAAAAAAATTAAAAAAAAAACAAAACTGTGCATTAGTAATTGTGAAATTAGATTAAGGATCTAGTACTGCCACTCACCAGGCTCTTGTTCTGATACAATACAAGAAAATATCTCTGGTTCATACAATTTTAAACTTAACATTTTGACCTCAGCCACTCAGAACCTTTTTATAGCGTCAGCCCCTGAGTTTTAGTAAAGGCTGCTCATTGGTTTTAATGGAGAGTTTTTTAGAGTGACTGGCAGATTTTCTCTGAAAAATGCCAAGTATTTGTGGTGGAAAGAGAAATAATAAATGAATAAATGACTAATTTGGTCTGCTCCAGACTCTGCTTTGTTTCTTTTTTCCCATGTGTTGTGTTTTCCATAAAGAGATTGAGGGAAATGGCGGTTTCTGAATGAGATTATCCATAGTACTTCAGTGCATTTCATGTGTTTTTAAAATGCTCCAAGTAAGATTCTATCTCTTATGAATATCAAAGTTCTCAGGCAGGGGAATGAGCTTCAGTAATCTGAAGACAGTTTATATGAGCTACCCTATCAGGGGTAATTGAATGTAATTGAAAAAGCATGAACATTGGCAGATGATATTCTGTTAGTCCACCAACAGAGTTCTGATCTCTGAACTTGTATTTCAATGATAGCACAGTTCAAGGGAACAGGAATACTTCCAGCATGGAGAACGCCAGACAGTCAGGGGTGGAAAGATTACTGAGCCCTGTGAAGATGAGCTGAACTATATCACTTGCCCTCTAGGCCACAGAAAAGCTCCTAGCCCATTCTTATTTCCTGCAGCAGACATAGCCTTGAAAGCTGTGATATGGATGGGGACAAGCCCAGAATCTCACATCATTACCCCAATTATTTCTTCAGTAGGAAACCTTCAGCTAAAGGGAGGGGAGCGGTGAGAAGGAGGAAGATACTTTCCATGAGAAAATTAGTACTTAGTATTGCTTTAGAAAAATATTAGTCAAAGAAAATTCAATAACCTTCTTTAATGGTTTAGACTACTTTGGATGTTTGGGGCTGCATTCCCAACAAGCACAGAGTCTGTCAAGACAGTCTTGAAAATTCTATTTTCCTGATGGACACAGCTTTTGACTATATTGAGATGATTAGAAATAGAGATCAATATATTTCTGTAATTCTGAAGCCAAATGGCAGAGCTTGCATTTGAACAGCTAAACTCAGTTCCCCAAGGTGCAGAGGGGTGACCATACTCAAAACCACTGGAAGAGAGTGCTCCTCTGGTTCTAAGTCACTTAGCAGTTACTGGATTGGTCAATCTCACTGTTTGGGGCAGAAGATGGCCTGCAGTAAGAACTAGTTTGATAATATGACTCTGTAGATGATTATATCACTGGGGTCATTGCAATTTTTAGGCTACTAATGTAGGTGTATCCTTTCAATACTTGGCTTCTCTTCATCTAAGTATATAGATAGGAGTCAATCCATGAGTGGAAGTCAGTTACTACCCGTAATGCTATAATCAATAAAATGAGTTTGAAATCATCTCAGTGCCCGGGAAAATTAATGCAAGTATTCTTCCTCTTGAGAATTGAACATCTTTTAGTGGTCTTAAGCTAATTGCATGTTTATATGTTTTCATTTATTAGTAGGAATGTATTAGAGTCACAATAGTCAAAAATGAAAGACTAATAAGTATCCTACACCTCAGTAAATGCTATCAAGTTTCATTGTGTTCCACCCAAAAGGCTGCATTTTGAGGTAGATTCAGGGAAAGATAAACATATCAGAGAGAGCTGATTCTCCATGAGACTGGTGTTTCTCTCAAAGGATGACTGATTTTAATGAAGTTAACATTTCAAGAAAACACCTCAAAATGTGCTATCCACATTTGGAGCCTCCATTCATCTGGCCAAAGCCAAATAAAAAGAAGAAAATAAGTATTGCTGCTGAATTCCATTTCATGCCTTATGTTAGAGATTTGTAAAACTGTCTCTTGCTGACTTGGAGATAAGTGAAATAACAATGAATTCAGCTTGAGGCAAGCAGCTTTTCAAGCAGACCTGTCAGGAATCAGAAAGACAGTTCAGAGTAATTCATTCCTGTGCTGTGTCTCAAGTGACTTGAGAAGGAATCTGGAATATCTGAAAAGCAAATACCATTAACTTACTGTACAGAAAAAAAAAAATAAAAATGTATTGCATTCTTCATTTGTAGAGAAACATGAAATATGAAGCAAGAATAGTACTTTGCCCAGCATACAATGGAGTACTGGGGTTAATCCATTCTCTGTACTTTACAAAATGCCTGCTCAAGAAAACAATCTCTGGGGGATCAAGTGCAAATGAACTGTGAACCTAGAAATGAAAATAGAAATCACTAGTTGGAAAATAATGTGGATAGAAACAGCTAGAAATATGCAGAATCAGCTTACATCAATGAACCTACACCTAAGCAATTTAGCCACTAATTTTCCCCCTAAGAGCAAAAATCCTTTAAATAGTATCCAGAGTGGATTTAGAGCTTCCACTGGAGAATGGACTTTAGCTTCATTGTGGCTGTAGGACCAGTGTCATAGAAGAAATCACAGACATATTTATAGCACCATAGCCTTTTTTATAGCACCATAGCCTTTTTCTGATTCAAAGGAATGTAATGGGGTGTTCCTTCTATTTTTGGAAGAAATGTTAGAGATTTATGGAAGCAAAAATGTAAATCAGAAAGAGAAAGTCTAACACCACCTTTTTTTAAAAAAAAAATTATGACATTATTATGGATTATGAGTTATTATTATGAGAATCTATGAAATGTTAATAAATAACAATAAGAAGAAAAACAAACAAACAAACAAACAAACTAAAACACCAAATGGCTTCAATGAATGCAACCCACTTCACAAAGAAAGATATTTTTTCTCTAGCAGTTCCTGTGGAGATGAATCACCCATGATGTTACAATACTTGGAGCCATTTCCCATGTGAGTCTTTTTTAGCAGAGGAAAAAAAAAAAAAAAAAAAAAAAGTATTAAGGCATAATTTGCTACCTCTGCTTTCTTTAGTGGAACAGAAAACAACAGGGTGGGGAAAAATATGCCCTTGTGTCCGATAAATCACCATCTTGACTTGTCACAGCTTAGGAATGCTCATTTGTCTTTTTAAATTGAACTGATATTTAAAACTTGTAGCAGCACATTAAAAATCCTCTGTTTGCAGTCGAATGCCTGCTCCAGATGAATGACCTGAGCATTTGCAGGAGCAAGGCACTGCTGGTCAGAGAAGAAGCCCTTTAGTAAATTATTAATCATACACCTGAGAGCATCCTGGCTGAGTTCTTAAAATAGCTGTGCTTCTGGCAACTGTAATTCTCTTTCTTCTCAAATGTAAGTAGTGGGTGACATGGAGGGGCAAACCCCAAACAAACAAACAGAAAAATAA